ATATATTCTCACAAGCCTGTAATAGCGAACAGTTGTATCTTGAAGCTGAAATCCATATCAATCGAAATGAAAATTGTTTTAAAAACTCCCTTTCCAAGGAAGCGATTTTAACTGAACTGTAAAGTACCTTTAAAGGAAATCCTTTGGCCATTCCAATCGCGTAGGTGTCCTCATTGATGGTGTCGCCGAATTTTTGCAATTTGCATCCATGGTCAGTTGCGCGATAATAGTCCAAGATGGGCGTGTCTGCTATCAGAATGTCCAGGGAACCATTCCTGGAACAGTCCGGGAGTTCAGCCAGCAGAAGTTTTTGCAAACTTTTACGTTTTCACCTACTCACCTTAGCATGTCCACGCCTTCTGCGGTGTCTTTTAGCGCATATTTGCTCATGTGCTCCCATAGTAGGCGGTTGGCCTTTTGCACGTAGTATTCAGCGGCTGAAGACTTTGGGGCCCCCACCTTCTGGCTCAACAACTAGGGGCCAAAAAAAGTTTAAGTTGCCATCAACCCCTTTAACCTGAACACATTGAAAACATGAAATGGATAAGAGCAAAGGAAAGCTGGTGGAAATTGGCGTTATAAAGACATTCGCATTCCTTCGGAACGGTTTCCCCAAAGCTGTTTGTGTGAATCCGGATTGTAGTCGCGGAAAATCGAATTTTCCGATACCATTCAGGCTTTGAGGCGCAATAAACCAACTCCTTTTGGCATATCGCATCGGAAAAGTGCGCATTTCTGCAGGCATTTCAAAGCAGTCGGATGTCCACTCTTGACCGGGAATTGTTAACGCAATTAATAAGTTGATATCCGAACAAACAGGCCCAAAGTGTGGAAATAACGCAATTAATTTGCGGTATCGTTTGCATGCCATAAACCAATTGCAATTATCAGCTGCTGCGAGCGTATTTCGCTAACATGCAAAATGCAAACTCGGCCGCTGTATTTGCGCGAATGGCCTAATGGAGAGGAATTTATTAATTCTAAGTAAATTGGGAAATGCGGCTTTGTGGCCACATACACAGCAAACGCGTTAAGTTTTATTGTCCAGCTAGTGGCTTTTGGGAGATGAAAAACTGCGCTGACCTGCAGTCGAATATATCAACCACAAATGGCGATTTTTTTCACTTGCTGCGTACTTTAGAGGCGTTTTTCATCCGCAAAGTTCATTGTGATAAAGCCTGAGGCTCCATGTCAAGTAGCGGTGGCAATTTGGAAGATTCTGGAATGGCATTTGCCAAAAATTGGAACTTGAAACACTCAAGCTCTTCATAATCTGGTTTAAAAAGGTACCTAAACAGTGAAAAGAATTGTCGAAGTTCGAAAGCGCGAATCCCGGAGACGGTTGAAAATACATGTTTGGTCCTCATCACCTTTTAGATAAAGCATTTGAAGATATTTATTTTGCTGCTAAAGTTTTAAGAGAAATTCCTAAGCCTTAAAGAGAAACAAGGGAAAATGTGAAAATATTATGTACTGTGGAGGCTTAAAAGCGCGAATCTCAGAAACGGTTGAAAATACATGTTTAGTCCTGAGGACCTTTTAGATGAAGCATTTTAAGGTATTTATTTTGGTGCTAAAATTTTATGAGAAGCTAAGCTTTAAAGAGAAACCGGAGAAAATGTGGAAAATTATAAAATGTCGAAGCTTAAAAGCTTGAACCTCAGAAATGGTTGAAAATACATGTTTAGTCCACACGAGGTTTGGATGAAGCGTTTCAGGAAGTTTATTTTTCTGCTAAAGTTTTATGAGAAATTCCCAAGCTTTAAAGAGAAACAAGAGAAAATGGGAAACATTATAAACTGTCGAGGCTTAAAAGCGCGAATCTCAGAAACGGTTGAAAATACATGTTTAGTCCACATGAGCTTTTGGATGAAGCATTTCAAGAAGTTTATTTTGCTGCTAAAGTTTCATGAGAAATTCCCAAGCTTTAAAGAGAAACAAGAGAAAATGTAAAAATTATAAACTGTCTGGGCATAAACGCGCGAATCTCAGAAACTGTTGAAAATAGATGTTTAGTCCACATGAGCTTTTGGATAAAGCATTTCAAGAAGTTTATTTTGCTGCTAAAGTTTCATGAGAAATTTCGAAGCTTTAAAGAGAAACAAGAGAAAATGTGAAAAATTATGAACTGTCGAGGCTTAAACGCGCGAATCTCAGAAACAGTTGAAAATATATATTTATTCCTGATCACCTTTTAGATAAAGCATTTGAAGAAATTTATTTTTCTGCAAAGTTTTATGAGAAATTTCGAAGCTTTCAAGAGAAACAAGAGAAAATGTGAAAAATTATAAACTGTGGAGGCTTAAACGCGCGAATCTCAGAAACGGTTGAAAACTCATCTTTAGTCCACATGAGCTTTTGGATGAAGCATTTCAAGAAGCTTATTTTGTTGCTAAAGTTTTATGAGAAGTTCCCAAGCTTTAAAGAGAAACAAGAGAAAATATGAAAAATTATAAACTGTCGCGGCTTAAAAGCTTGAATCTCAGAAACGGTTGAAAATGCATGTTTAGTCCACACGAGGTTTGGATGAAGCGTTTCAAGAAGTTTATTTTGCTGCTAAAGTTTTATGAGAAATTTCGAAGCTTTAAAGAGAAACAAGAGAAAATGTGAAAATTATAAACTGTCGAGGCTTAAACGCGCGAATCTCAGAAACGGTTGAAGACACATCTTTAGTCCACATGAGCTTTTGGATGAAGCATTTCAGAGAGTTTATTTTGCTGCTAAAGTTTTATGAGAAATTCCCAAGCTTTAAAGAGAAACAGGAGAAAATTTGGAAAATTATAAACTGTCGAGGCTTAAAAGCTTGAATCTCAGAAACGGTTGAAAATACATGTTTAGTCCTGAGGACCTTTTAGATGAAGCATTTTAAGGTATTTATTTTGGTGCTAAAATTTTATGAGAAATTCCTAAGCTTTAAAGAGAAACAGGAGAAAATTTGGAAAATTATAAACTGTCGAGGCTTAAAAGCTTGAATCTCAGAAACGGTTGAAAATACATGTTTAGTCCACACGAGGTTTGGATGAAGCGTTTCAAGAAGTTTATTTTTCTGCAAAGTTTTATGAGAAATTTCGAAGCTTTAAACAGAAACAAGTGAAAATGTGAAAAATTATGAACTGTCGAGGCTTAAAAGCTCGAATCTCAGAAACGGTTGAAAATACATGTTTAGTCCTCCGGACCTTTTAGATAAAGAATTTCAAAGTATTTATTTTGCTACTAAAATTTTCTGAGAAATTCCTAACCTTTAAGGAGTAATAAGGCAAAATCCGAAAATTTTACAAACTGTCTAGGCTTAAAAGCGCGAATCTCAAAACGAGATTGAAAATACATGTTTTGGCGTCATAGCCTTTTAGTTAGAGGATTATTTTTGATGAGAAGTTTCTAACCCCTAAAAAGTTGGAAGCAAAAATGAAGAAAACTGGCGACTGCAACAGGAAAACGCAATTTTCAGCCACAAAGAACCAATCTGCATTAACCAGAAAAATCCCTAAAATATATTCAAATAGCTCTCTCTGTGCACTAGATATGTATGACATAAACGTATTCCCTACATCAATGTTTACGAGCATTTTGCGGCCAGACCGGAATATCCATGTTAATTACTGTCGGCCTACGTTAGACGGAGATTAGGGCGAAAGTGATGTATGATTTTGTATTCACCAAACGTTATTAATAGGCGCGGATCGGGGCCTTTTTGCTATTATTTACTGTCCGAAAATGATCAAATTCCAAAGAGGTCTCCATCACTTAAGTCCCTTAAGCAGCTTTGAGAATAAATTAAAGGAAAACATGCTTAATTAGTTTCATTCTTCATCAGTTTTCATTTCAGATGTCCCCTCAAACCACATTCCAGTTGTGTGTAGGTTTGAACTGAGGTTGAAACGAATCAAGAAGGCACCGCCCAAGAAATACATATATATTTCTGTATATAAATATATATACGGAAATATTCGGAAACAAGTGCAGGAATCGCTGACTAACGATTTAAAGAAAACCAACCACAACACGAGTAAAGCACAAGACAAATGGGATAAATTCAAAAACCCTATACAAGCAAATTGTGAAAAATATTTGCAAAAGGATAAAAACAAAAAAACAAGAGTGGATGACACAAGAGATAATGGGCCAAAGGCGGAAACACAAAGGTAAAAACAACAGAAAGTACTGTGAAATTCACAAAAACACTAGGGAGGCAAAGGAAAAATGGTCCTCTGAAAAATGTGACAAGATAGAACAATATGAAAACAAAGAAAATAA